ATCCGGTGATCTGTGGGCTTTTTAAATCGGAAGAGATGAGTTTGCTTGTTCAGCAATTCTTGTTTTTCTTTCATATTCTTTCATTACCCAATAAAAATGAGAGATGTATTGGTACATGTTCGGATCTGAACTAGTTGGTCTAGGCCCAATTGTTTGGTTTGTTTAAATTTGGTTTGATCTGATCCGAATTAGTTTGTCATGATCTAGTAAATGTTTGATCTATGTGAATTTTATAGTTACTCAAGTCTGATCCAATCTGTTTAAGTCCTATCTAGTCTTACGTGGTGTGAAACTGATAACAGTGCAAAAGAAAACATCTTTACACGTCCAGGTGTAAATATTTGTGCAGAGATAATTGATTTTGATTTTAGTAAATCGAAGCGTATGTAGCTCCAAAAAATGAATCGTCCGTGCATAGAAAATACGGGATCACATACACTTCATTTTACTAAAGTTAAAATCAATTGTCTGTACACATACAATTGCATTAGGTGTGTAAGCCGGAGTAGAACCGAACATGTACAAGTAGCATTTCCCATAAAATACCGTAAATATTAGGAACAAAATACAAATATTCAAAACCAATAAGCATAAAAATGTTCACTTGCATTGTGGGATAGTGCCCAAGATCGTTGGCACATGCAACTCTTAATTCTTATAACCAATTATTAAAAAGTACGGAGTATAAGAAATGGGACTAAATAAGTTTTGTAATTTCAAAGTAGGAGTAATATGACAGTTTTTATTGTCATCTTGTAGTCACTAGTGTCAAATAGTTGCACTACTAGGTATTAAACATTGCAAAATTAACTATCATTAATGACAATATTTTTCTGATAGAGTATTAAGTCTTAGAGAGAAGTGAGAGTTGGAGAGAGAAAGTGATCAATTAATATTTCTCCCCTTATAACTACCCCTAGGGGCTATTTATAGGAGCAAATGTGGATTTGGACTCCTAGCCTTGGGCTTAGGAGAGCCATTACAATAACAAAGCCTCTATTGAGCATAATAAGACCACTAATGGACTAAGTACATGATTTATTTAGCCAAGTATAAAAACTATTCCGTCAGTATTTATTTAGTCGATAAGATGCCCCTGGCCGATGGAGTGCCCTGGCCGACGGAGGACCCATTTTGCTCCTGGGCCTCTGAGCCGTATTCTGGGGAGTTTTGGTTCTGGCCGATGAATGGCTCATCTGGCCGAAGGTGTGCCACGTGGGTGTCTATCTTCAGTGTTTGATCCTTTGAGTATGTGGGTCATGGGATCTGGGCCCATATACGCTATCATTTTCAATTATGGCATAATTTTTCAATCACGGCAGTAACGACTCCTATTCCGAAAATAAAAACATAGCGGTTCTGGTTTGGATTTCAAAACATATTTACTCCTATTTAGGGAATTTCCTAACAATTAATAATATTTTTAGATGATATGATTGTTGCAGTTATAGATATAATGTACCACGTAGTAATTTAGTTTTCACTATAATGATAGATAATTTGGACGGAGTATAATACATTTATATATTTTTCTGAAATAATACTTCCCCCTGACTTCTGTAGTGAAAACTAAACATAAAATTTTCTTAAACTCTTTTATTTTCCTCTATGTCGTCTATTAACTCCAAGAAAGACCATTGGAAGAAAAGTATTACCTCTGGCCCCCATACATTGGGACAAAAGAAATGAAACGGTTATTAAGAAAAGTGAAATCGTGTAATTGATATTAAAATGATAAAATGTAAATAAAGTAAGAATAAATTGTAACCACTCAAACTTTGTCAAATATGGTATGAGACAAACTTAGTGAGATAGACAAAAAAAGATAAAGGAATGGATGGGGGATCTACGACCCTTCAAATACACATATACTCCCCTCCGTACCCCTGTTATTGTCTCATTTCCTATTCGCTTGATCAACACAAATCACTCTTAATATCTTACTTTATGTATCAAATTTTTATCAAATTTGATTCTGGTTTTTGCAACTTTGTAAAGCTTTTAATGTAGTTTCTTAATATGTAATTTTTTTTCTAAAAATAATTTGAGTGCGGACAAAGATCCGTTTGATTTATCGCCGGTCAAGCATCGTAAACCGTAATGGGACAATAACAAGGGGACGGAGGTAGTATGTAACTATATAAGGATATAACTTGGGTTGCATTTTTTTTTTGGCATCAACTTGGGTTGCATATTTTTTGGCATCAACTTGGGTTGCATTAGGTTGTGCCGGGAAAAAAATAACAGGACAACATGCAAAGAAAAAAGAGGCATATAATTTGGGTTTTAGGGGTTTCAAGAACCAAATAGGAGGGAGTCATGGGAGTTCTTAAAGAGTTTGGCGGTGTTAGTGATTTACTTTGGCCAGTTGTAGGGGATTTTAATGATATTACGCATGCGCGTGAAAAGAGGGGTAGATGTCCTCAACCTCCATGGATGTTGCCTTGATTCCGGGAAGCGGATTGGGGGAGTGGTTTGTTGAATTTCCCTTTTCATGGCTACCAATTTACTTGAGAGCGTGGTCGGGGGATATTAGCATGGGTGGAGCAAAAACTAGATCAAATTCTAGTTTCAAAAGGTTGACTTAGTAAATTTAGGGAGTGTTTGCAATTGCTTCAACTTTAAAGAAGTGATTTTTTAAAGTGATTTTGGGAAAAGTGATTAATAGTAAAAGTTGGTAGTGTTTGAAGAAAAAGTGATTCTGAAAAAGTAAAAGTTGGTAGTGTTTGGACTTTTTGTGTAATAGAAAAAGTGAAAAGCAGTTTAAAGCACCCCTCCACCTGCTTCCAGCTTTTAGCTTTTAAGTGATTAATTTAAGCAGAAGCTGTCATTTGAAAACACTCTTTTTAACTTTTTTTAAGCCAAAAGCTGAAAAGCACTTTTTTTTAATCAAATGCAAACACTCCCTTAGAGATGTATGGGCTACTTCTATCAAGGTGAGCATAGCGTAGCTATTTTCATAAAATTCACTCAAAAGTGGAGTACCAGGTGGAAGAGTTTTAAATTTGAGAATCACTGGTTGCGTGAAAATGATTGTAGAAATATTGTTGAAAGGGCACATGTGTGTGGCTGTGGGAAACAATTCCATGATAGATTGCAATTTCGTGAGTTTGAATTGGGCAAATGGGGTTACCTCTATGGCGAGGCTTTCAATGCCGAATTGAGGGATGCAAAAGACAAATGGAGAGGACCCAAGGCAGACCTGATGCAGCTGGTTTGACAAGTTTTGCTCAGGCCAAGGAATGTTAGATGATGCTTTGGAAAAACAAAATGACTTCTGGAAGCAATGAACAAAATAATTTTGCCTAAAACACCGTGATGGAAATACTAGGATTTTCACAACTCTGTTAAAAAAAGGAGAAGATGGATTTTTTTACGAGGGTTAAGGTGGACTTCGAGGAGTGGGTAATGGAGAAATATGATTTAAAAGACTTTATGCGTAATCATTTTATGAGTTTGTTTTCTCAAAATGAGATGGAGGGAGATTTGGAGTTGGGATGTCTTCGGACAGATTAATTGATAGTTAAAAAAGTAACCATAATTGTATTGTGTACACACATATATCATTTCAATACAAAGAAGTAATACAAAAAAACAACAACAACATCCAAGTCTTAGTCCCTAAAGATATTGGGGCACACGTATGTATAAGGATATGTCCAAATAGGACATGTCCAAATTTATATGTATAAGCAAGGTACCACACGTAACAAACCATAGTAACAAGTAACCATCTCTACCTTCCAACGGTCAGGAATATAAATCATTTAGATGATTAGTGTAATGGCACCTAACTTTTAATCACCAAATTTGGGACTCAAATTAGTGAAGCTCAAATAAAACTTGGATTTTAGTAAGACTCAAATGATATTCGAAACTATTGTAGCTAAGAACTTTATGATCCCCACGATTAGTATTACCCCGACAAAATTAATACTCCCTTTCACATTCATACGTAGGAAATTCCTCTTGACTGTCAACAAGACAATGAAAAAAAAGTCAAAGGAAATTATTGGAAGGTCAAAACAATGGGTGCTTTCTTCCGTCATCATATAAATATAGATACTATATTTATACATATAGTATCTATAAATTACATCTTGTTCAACGCACAGGTGGATTTTACTAAGAGATATTACGGTCGAAGAGGTGAAATTAGTTGCTTTTAGTATGCATCCAGAGCCTTGTGGCAATTATTCCGGCTATCCAGGATGGATTGATGCACCAGATTGGGACAGGGAACTTTGTGAGAGTCTGGAAAGATTAGTGGATTCCAACCGCGAGAGGAGGTAAATCAACTTCAAATGCAATATCCGGTTTGGATGACATTATGATCATATGGTGCGGTCAATTATGGTGGAAGATGGCAAAAGCTGGGACCAAGATATTCTTTGTGATTTATTCATTTATGTCATAGAAAACAAATTCGGAGGGGCGGTGAATTGATTTGGGCAGAAGATAGCAGAGGATGATACACTGTCCGCAATTGTTACCGAGGACTAACATGGAAATCGTTACCTTCTCCTTACTGGGACCGAATTAATTTATTTAATTGATATAATTAATTGCGTCTAGTTCCCTTACATAACCAAGGCCAACTCATTGATAACGGATCAATCCGATGGTGGACTGGTGGCATCAGCTAACTCTAGCAGCAAACAACGGCAAGATTCTATCAGTCCAGATTTGGGGGGAATTTCTATGACTGGCAGCAACAATCTGAATTTAGAGTTTACATGATCCGAATTTAAAAGTTTATGGACTTTTTTAAAGGTCGAACTTATTAATGAAAACAGTTTCAACCTTGTGGTGACAACTCCAGTACCCATTTAAAAAATGGAGTACCGTACTACCATCCACATGATTGATCCAAATCATTATATCATATTTGTTTTAGATTTAAATAATTCAACTACATCATTCTGATTGGTCCATTTGGATAAAAATATGGTACCTTAAGGGTACCATAGAATCTACGTTATGATAAAGGCACATATGATCTCAATTCTTACGAATGACGGAATGAATGCTTCGATGCTACTAGGCATTATACATTACGATTTGTAGTATATTAACTAAAGCTCAAGAAACAAAAATTACAAAAGCCAATTAACAGGCATTGACAAAAAAAAGATGGAACCATTAAGACGACTACAAACACCTCAACCGCTCTTGCTAGGGGACTAGGGGTCAAGCCTCAAGAAGGTCAGATACCTGATAATACCAAACACCTTGACATCGCTTAACTATTAACAAGCAAAACTACACCCTCCACAATAGGCTGACAGTAGTCGTTATCAATGAGCAATATACAACTCAACTCAACTCAAATACAGTAATTTATATGCACATAATAAGTGAACTGACAAATAAAAGATTCTAAATACACCATGATCCATGGGACATTGAACATTTTTGCATTTTCCAGAAGCATAGAAAATTCATTTTTCCTAAAACCCCATTATGAATTTGACGCCTTTTAACTTCTACTTAGCTGTAATAACTAATGTTCCATCTTCTCTTCTATTTTCCTGAAGAAGAAAAACCCGAGTCAAGAATCAAATGACTGAATAACAAAAGCTATATCTTGAAACAAATATGTACCAAACTGGGTAGGGGTACACGAACAATAATGCAAAAAAAGCCCGGGAGATAGGATAACTAAGAAGTCTGACTAAAAGGGATGATTTTGCTCTTTATTTGAGGTCAATCCTGCAGCATCACTATAACTCTTTAAACTCGCAGTTCAAATAGGTGAGATATTGTATAAGATCTAAGAATGTGGTTTAAGCTAATGGTTTCAGCCTCACGGACTTTCCGTGTCAGGAAAAAATGAAAATAACAGCAGAGGTGAGCCCAAGGTCGCGTGTTAGCGACATTGGACACCAAACCGATCGGCAAAGAGGATTGAAGTCATTAAAAGTTAATAGAAAGTTGGCTGTTCAAGTCTAAAGAAAAAACCTAAGTTTGCATGCTTCTGCTGGGCTAGCTTGTCATGTCTGTCAATGACCACTAACAAATTCAGAAAACCATTTACACAAAATCTCATAATAAAATATCCACATGAAATAAGGAGTAATTGCACAAACCTGAAGTATCAAGTATACCAAACGACATGGTCAACTGATCAAATAGCGTCATCTTGCGGTATAGTTGTGAGGAGCACTGGTCTAACAGAGATGACAGGTGTATAGTTAATCTCGTAACTCACGTGCATTGACCCAAATATATTGAACTTCTCAGCACTGCTATAAGCAACCTCTGCGTCAGATCCCCTCTTAAACACCACTCTCCCACGACAGCATTCCGGATGAACTTCGGTCTCTAATTCCTTTATAGGCCCAAACCGTCTGAATATCTTATTAAGGTTCATCTCTGAAGGAAGCCAACCACCACCCTCTCCAAACTTCAAGATAAGCTCTGCCGGCTCCCTCATTTTCTTCTCCACATCCTCATCTGTTGCTACCGCCATGTCATAATTACTATCATTCCCGATAGAGTACCTTTTCCTACAGTATGACCGCCGGCTTGTTTTATTATGATCAGAAGATTTGTTATTGTTTGATGAATCACCAATAACAGAATGTTGCTGCTGCAATAGTTCATGTTGCTCCTCAGAATAGTTCTGAACAATCCTGTCCGTCCAATATGAGTCATTAACATCATCTTCAAACTCAAAACCTTCATCACCCACCACCTGGGAAGCTTTCCTCTTTCTACGACCCCCACCAACTGCCGCAGGCCTTCCTGAGTGGGACAGATTCTGCTGCTGCAACTTAGACTTCTTCTTTGAGTATCTACTGAGATCTAACATGAACATAACAAAAGTATCCAAAAAGGTATAATCTCTCATTGGGGCACGTGCCACCATCTGAAGCTGAGAGTACAACTCAATGATGCAGGACGGGTTCTGTTTGTGACCATAACTACTGGCTGGCTCTGGTTGAACAAAGTCACCTTTCAAGTGGCTCGCGGCTCTCATGATGCGTTCACCAATTTTGAAAGGCTGCGGGTTAGGAGTTACAGGTGACACTTTTGCGGAATAAACAATCATTGTCCCGTCCGGTTCACCTTCAAGTTCAGAGCTTCCGTTTATCTCGGATGTCCGTCTCTCTTTTGAGGACCTGTACTTACGTTTAAGAGAGGGAGCAACCACCTTATTATTCAAGATGGGTTTTGCATCATCATCATTTTCTAATAACTCTCCACCCATCAAGAACTCAGAAGGTACGTTTGATCCCTTGAAACGGGAATAAGACAATAACTGGGCCCGGACAATAACAAGATCCAACTGATCAAATGAAGCATCGGGTGAACATGCCATTCCTTTCAAGAACAGAAACAACTTGTCTGGTACAAACGCCTCCACACCTGCCATAAACTTGTCAACACCCCATATTTTCCTGCTTGATTCTTCACGTATACCTGTGTTCTCAACAATCTGGCATGCAATATTACTGTACAAAGCTTTGGGTATGCAAGAGCAATACAAGCCCAATTCAATCCGTCTTGAAACCTCTTCCAGTGCACACCTGACCGCATTCTGAAACGTTTCGGAATTGCTTTGCTTCACGATCTGGGAGAAGTTAGACCAGAACGGTTTCAGCAAGGATGCGTCGTTCCACGCAAAGGTTCGGTCCCCGAAATAAGCTACCAAAAAGCACCCCTTCTTATAATATCTAACTGCCTTTTCAGATGCATCTGCAGGATCAAATATCTGTCCAGGCCACCACGGATGATTTCTGACCTTTCCCCAAACTAAATCTGATACGGTGAACTTTCCAGGCTTTTCGGGAGGATGTAGAAAACCAGGATATAAGTTTACAGTCTTTGCTACGGACATGTCAGTTTCAGAATAAAGTTTCTTACAATCTTCTTCTACTACCACTACAACATCTTCTTCCTTTTCTACTTTATCTCTATGTTGTTGCTCATCACTTATACATACTGTTTCTGGAGCATGAGGATCAACCAAATAGTGCCCATCGTTTGTCTTTGATGGTCCCTTTTCCATTTCCACCACTTGCTCAACTTCCACCTCCATATGGGCCGCAACATGTGAAACATCAGTTCCCAGGAGTGGATCAGTAATTGTTGTCACTCCCATGTTCTGACTGTTATCTACCTCTCCCACAAGCTTACACTTGGACTCTCTACCTAGCTGCTTGAAGTTTTCAATATGAACTGGTTTCGTGTTTTCTTCCAGTGCGACAACAGTATGTGGTTGACAGTCGTCCAAAGATTCCCGACTACTCGCTTGATCATTGTTTGGTGTACCCTCTCTTCTAGCCATTGCAGCATTTCTTCCCAAATCTACTTGCAAAAAACCTTCATGAATGAGCTCAAATGCAGGTTTAACAACAAAATGGTTATTCATCACCAGATTACTTTTATTATTACCTAAATCGACATTCTGGACATCTTTTGGCTCAGATTCACGACCATCCAAAATTTCGTGTGCAGGGACACACACAGTCTGTAGACTCTGTACAATGTTAGCATCTTTAGTTGAGGCTAAGTTATCTGCACTGTTAATAACTTCTAACTTTTTCTCACCAATATCCATTTGTAAAATACCAGAGTACCTAACGGAGATTTTGCTACTCTCTTTTGTAACATCTAACATGTCCTCAGTGATACCCATCGCTTCATTGTTATTCGAGGTTTCTAAGCATGGATCATTTTCTGAACAGTGATTAGTGGGCGTTGTATTCTTGAAATCTATTACAAAACCCCCAGCTTTTGTCACTTCTTCTCTATCAAGGTAATGTTTTGCATCAGATAGCTCTATTCTATCATCGTTGTTAGTATTATCAACAATTCCAGATTCTGTAAAGCAGTGCGGTTCTGGCAAGTCGTCTCCTGACTTACCTTCCATGTCAATATCAGTAGATGTTGGATTATCATTGGAAATCTTAAAAGACTCAGCTTTATCATGAATAACAGCATCGTTATCACCATCCATTTGCAAACACTCCTGAGAATGAGGTAAGTTGTCTTTATTGTTGGCAACAACTGCAGAATGTTTATTGTCAGGGACAACCACAGTCTGTATAATATCAGTGTCTTCAGTTGAGGTACTTGAGGCTGTGTTATCTGCACTATTAGTAACATCTAAATTTTTCTCACCATTATCTGTCTGCACAACATCGAAGTCCTTAATAGAGACAGAGGTACCCTCTTCCGTAACATTTAACTTGCCCTCATCAATATCCATTGCATCATTGTTTTTAGAGATAAGTAAGCATGTATCATTCTCTAAGCAGTGATTACTGGAAATTTTATTCTCAGAATTTATTACCACCTCAACCTCAGTCACTTCTTTATCAAGGTTATTATGTTTTGCATCAGAAACCTCTAGTTCATCACCTTTGTTAGTAATATCAACAATTCCAGATTCTGTAGAACAGTGCGGTTCTGGCAAGTCAACTTCTAGGTTATCTTTCTCATCAATATCAGCAGTTGTTGGATTATCTTTGGAATTATTGAAAGACCCGTCTTTACCATGCACAGCAGAGTGGTTGTCACCATCAACTTGCAAACCCTCCTGAGAATGAGGTATGCGTTTATTACTGACAACAATACTGTCCACCTTTGATTGCATTTTTACATCTTCATTGACCACCCCAATTTCCACATCCTTGAATGTTATGTCAATACATCGAAACTTCATATCACATAATTAAGGTCTGAATGTTGTTATTGTATTCTTCATTAAAATAGAAGTTACCAATTCTTTTACTTGGAAAGATTAAAATAACGGAAAATCTCATTAATTGAAGATATATGATAACAAATCTATAATAATAGAAATATAGAATGCATAATGGGTTTTTAGAATAAAAAGAAAGTTACATGAATTTGTAAAATCCCACGCAATATAAAAAATTCATCAAAAACAATTAAGTGATGGTGTGATAAAGTTCAATTGGGCCATATATAAAGCATGTGTGACATGTAAATAGAGAAATAATTAACTTAGTTTTTTACATGGGATGTTTTCGATTGGACGGAAAACATCTAGAAATTTTCAATTCTAGTCTGGAATGATCACCTGATCTGACTTGTTTAAGTCTGGTATTGAGTGTTTTACTGGTTAATGCGTTTACCAATGTCAATTTTTTGAGATTTCTTACTAGAAAAATTGATTTTCTGTTTTTTGCTATTATATGTAATGCTAAATAGCCGTACTTTCTTACTAGTATATGTAAATCTAAAAAATAGATTTCTTACTAGTATATGTTGTTTGAGAATAATTATATAAGTTTTTACATAAAACGGTATATTAAGCATGAAAATCTTTGTCCCCTTAACTAAAACTTCTGGAGCTGTCTTTGTGCATCCTAATTACTAATATAATGTTTAGTAAGGACTAAGGAGTGACAATTAAATAGCATCTGAACACCAAATAGGGCATGGAGAGTAAGGATGTTTTTAATTGGACTGTAATTTACTGGTCTGGTCTGGTATGCACTGGTCTATGCACTGGTCTGGTATGGTTTCTTTGTATTTTTATAACTACCAAAGTCTGGTCTGGACTGGGGCAAATTACAGTCCAAGTAAAAACATCCTAATACACACATATATAGCAAACCATCTATTTGCAGGAGTAAAAGGTCACTATAGAAAATGTACCATTGCTAAAAACTGCAACTCTAGCAGTAGAAGGAATGCACTTCAAAACTGCAAAAGAAAAAACGTCTAAGAACATCTATTGAATACCCAAAGTCCAAACTAGTTCCTAAGCTCATAAAGGCAAATGTACACAAGAAAACTATCTGTGGTTTGCATCTTAGTATGTTTACCCTTATGCGCAAGAAACAAATCACATTGTACAAGCTAGTTAGAGTTGATGATGTTGATGTGTACCGTTCCTACACCATTTGTCCACTTCAATTGATCCATCTTTTTTTATTTAAAAAGATATGTTCCAAAACAAAATAAAAGATAAATCATAAATGCAATGCTAAAATATTATTAAACAAGGTATTTGTATATAGTTGAGAAAAGGGAGAGGGCATAAAGCCTAGGGGTGTCTCCAAACCTAGACTCTAAAGGATTTTTATGAGATTTTAATTCCATTGATTTAACAGAATTCCACAGATTCTATCAGATTTTATGGAATTCTATATTATAGAATGTTATAGATTTCAACCAAGGACGGGGCACCTAGACCTTAGCTTCAAATTGGAGACGGCAAACTGAGCAAGATCTTCGGCAGTTACGCTGTTTTGGAATCCCTTCTCGTTGGAAATGCCCACAACCGTAGCAATTCTTTTGAAACAGGCCTAGTATTGATATTTGATAAGAAGTATAGATGCCCAGGCCTGGTAGTATAGATGAACCAAGGGATAGGGGGGCTATTGGGCCAAAAATACGGGAGAGAAGAAGGACCGTATTGATAAGAAGTCCGAGCAGAAGTGAGGGAGAAGAAACTTGGACTGAGGTAGGTGGTGTTGATTTAAAATCCAAGGGCGAAGGGACGATTTTGGCTGGCGAAAAAGTGAGGTCTCCCAGGTCGCCGAACCAAGGCCGGTCCTGAGAAAATGGAGATCACGTGCAACAACAAAATTTGGGTTTTCCTTTCCAACAAAAATAGATATAGAACATAAATAAAGATGATAACAATAATAAATTACTGATAATTTTTCAAAATTAATTTGGTCCTTCCTTACCAAAATTTTTGGGGCAGTTAATTTTTCAAGTCTTCTTTTCTTCTTAAGCTTCTCATATCTATATTGGTATTTCTTTGGAAACATAATTACTACCATTATTGAAATTCTCCAATAATCTTGCACATGCTTACAAATTTAATTTAAACGTCAATTTAATTTCTGCCTTACGGACTTTAAACTAACAACCTAACAAGTAATAACATACTTACACCAATTTGTCAAATATAAATAGGTTAATTAATTCATCAATTAATATCAGAACATCAAAACTAACAAAGCCTTAATGGGTCTGAAAAATTAAATTCAGCAAGTCAAACACAATTCACTATATATCAAGCAATGATGATAAAGATTAATACCCAATAATCCAACAAAATTAAGAAAATTAATAATATAATCATCATTTAAAACAGATAAACTTACCTGGAGGCTGAAGGCGCGGTCGTCCGGTCGTGGTGCCGGACTGCCAGGTGCGGACAGCGGACGTGCGGTGATGCGGTGGAGACTGGAGGACCTAGACAAACAGACGGTTGTCGCCTGGGCCGCGTAGTGGTCGGCGACTCGGCGGCGATTGAACGGGTTTGTCGATTCGGCGGATGCGGATTGCTGTCTTGCGGGATGCGTTGGAACTTGGTCTTGTCGACGGCAGCTTCAATTGACGAAGGGCGACGGAAGGCTTTTACTCGCTTAGTGGCATGATTCCAGACGGACCAGACTCAAACATTACATTACTCTCTTTTTCTCGGACTCGAGCTACCTAATACGGAGTACTACTATTAAAATTTTGTTTTGGGTATTTTATATTTTTGGGCCATTAGACTGGTTGTCCCTACCATGGGCCAGCCCTGCTCCGAACGATGATTAGCAATTATGTTTTATAAACCATAATTTAGGCATGTAACTCTACGCATTAATTCCTTGTGATTTAAAAAATGTGTAAGACGCTCATGTGTTATAATTATGAGTTCGCATACCGTGGTATCACCCCACGGTGAGCACCGTGCTCCCACACCCAAAACGACGTAGTTTTGCACAATTTTTTAAAAAAATTCGCGTGAACAGTAACACGTGAATAGTACACGCGTGTACAATAACTGTTTTTTTGTCCCAATAGTATGAATGATGTAACTCGCGTGTAAAGATATGTAACTCACGTTATTGATCAATGTAACTCAAGTTCATTCGAAATGTAACTTATGAAATACATATTATAAGAAAGATTTCAATGTAGACTATGGAAAAGAGAGTTTAATTGCACAATTAGTTTATGTAAACCGTGAATATGTTTGGTTTTAAATATCATGACCTGATAAAGGATTTAGAAAAAAACATTTTTTTGAATACCAGGGGTTGTTTTTTTATGTAACTCATGTTATTACAAATGCAACTCGCGTTTCAGAAGATGTAACTCGCTTCTAAAAAGATGTAACTCTTGCATATGAAGATGTAACTCGCATATAAAAAGATGCAATTCTATATATTATCAAATGTAATTGTGGATATAAGATTACACATAGATATGTGAAGAACAACGTCTGAACAGAGTGTGAATCCCAGACAAAAGGCATTTAAATAAGGAAGATAAAGAAATTATCATTTTTAAGTAATTAGATGTGAAGTTTCTCACAATCCCACTATGTACTTACAAAATTTGAGGGCCTGCAATTTAGATTGGGAAGTGGGATTTAATGGGAGTCATGGGACATTGGGACAACGTTGATCCTCACCTTCCCTGGGAACTGCTGAAGCTAGCGATTGGGAACGAAAGGTCGAAAGCAGCTCACCTTCGTTGGGAAATTAGGAAGCTCTGCTCTCTGTTTTTTTTTATTATCATAAAACGGTGTCGTATGTGGTACGGGCATACCATGCTCATGGTATGCCGATACCACGATATAATTTGCGTATAATTATTCATGCGTAAAATCTTCAAGAACAAATTTTACAATGTTGAAATCACTTTTCTTAATAAAATGATTGAATATGCAAGTAGTTTTGTAAAAAAAAATTATACAAAAAAACCAATCGTTTTTCTTTTTTTGTCAATTAAATTTGTTCATAGAAGGGGTTATGTGCATAAATAACCACAACACAGGGGGTTTAACGCATTTTATAAATCATATGAGGCTAATGCGCTGGATTCATATTTCACGAGAAGGTTTGATGCATTAATCATGTTTTTCATTATTAACCTGAGAGATCATTCAATCAAACCATTCAAGTTCTCAATAGTCAATATAATTACCAAATGGGTTGGTTTAGAAATTTGGATAACTGAAATCAAACCAAACTCTAAAATCATGGGTCGGGTCGGGTCAATTGACTTGAACCATTTTGCCCACCCCTAGCAACACTATGTTTCATTAAGTGATGCGGTACATGTTAACACTAGTACAAACTACCAACCATGCTTTTCCGATATAAAAATAGAAAAATAAAAAGCATCGCACTCAAACAGATCATGGTCATATCAACATGGTTGCAAACCTTTATCACATGATTCATTCATATTTGTCGGACTTCTTTTTTTCCTTACTATACTGGTGTGTAATCTTATCCAATTATTCGAAATTCAATCAAGTTACTAGATTCACCCCTGAACATTTCACCACCACCTTTAAAATTTCATTGTGTGCATTCCCATTGTATCGGGGGTGGGTTTCATTGAGTTTTCATGTCTAATTTTTCCTTGTTCCCCACACGCGATTTCTCTCAGGTTTGACGAGTGTTGTTCCTTCATAATTGTGGTTTAGGAATTGCTTACTAAAACATTAATTGATAGTTTCTGTTGAGTTTGTGGTAGATTTTTTCACATTTTTGTCCATATTAATAACAAAAATTTAGCTTAGGCTTTATGTCCTCTCCTTCTCCTCAACTTTATACCAACAACTTATTTAATACTCTTTCACAATTTAGCTTGTCTAATACTCCCTCCGTCCCGTTGGTTTTTGCCAACTTTCCCTTTTTTGTTGTCCCCAAAAACTTTGTCACTTTCCCATTAAAGCAACTAATTTGTGGTTCTGCACATTTCTCTCTCCTCTGCACAAATCTCAACCACACAGTTCTTACTATTTTTATTTCTCACCTACTTTGCACTTGGCAAAGTCCACCGGGACGGAGGTAGTAATTTTTTGGCATTGTATTTGTCTTTTATTTTGTTCTGGCACATGTCCTTTTGAATATAAAAAAGATAGCCAATTGAAGTGGTGTGTGGATGATATACGTCAGCATATACTCTGAGGGTTGGTTTGCAACTCCTTTTAAAAAAACACTTCTCAACTTTTGACTTTAAAAAATCACTTATTTTCCCAAACACTACAATTTTTATTTTTCTCGGCTTCCGCGTCAAAAATGCTTTTACTTTTTCTATTACACAAAAAACACTTATTTTACCAAACACTACCCACTTTTACTTTTCAAAATCATTTTTTTCTCAAACACTATCTGACTAGCTCTTACAATGTAATACTCCCTCCGGTTCTTTTTAAACTTCAGTGTTTGACTTCACAGTTATTAAGGAAATAAAGTTGACCTTACTGTAGAGTACACTGTTGAGACACTGTTTGACACTGTTGAGACACTGTTTGGCACTGTTGAGACACTGTTTGGCACTGTTTAACACTGTTTTGATGTATATTTCTTTGCCAAATAAGGAAATAAGGAAGTATGAAGTTTATTTTGGACCGTCCCAAAAAGGAAAGTGTGAAGTTTATTTAGAACCGGAGGGAGTATAATTTTTGTGGAGAGAGGATAAACATACAAAGATGCAACCAAATATAGTTTTCTGGTGTACATTTTTTCTTTATGAGCCTGGGAACTAGATGTTTTTGGATATTCACTAGATGTTTTTAGACGTTTCCTCTTCTACAGCCTTGTAGTGTATTCATGCTAGTTGATGCTGCTAGAGTTTTTGCAATTTTTTCGCAATGGTACATTTTCTATTGTAACATCTTACCCCTACAAATAGATGGTTTGATATATGGGACAAAAGGGTCTGTTTGCAACAACTTCTACTTTTGAAAAGATGTTTTTTTTAATGAAATGGGGAGAAGTAATTAAATAAAAGTTGATAGTGTTTGAGAAAAAAGTGATTTTGAAAAGTAAAAGTGGGTAGTGTTTGATAAAATAAGTGTTTTTTGTGTAATAGAAAAAGTAAAAGCACTTTTGACGCGGAAGCCGAGAAAAATAAAAGTTGTAGTGTTTGGAAAAATAAGTGCTTTTTTAAAGCCAAAAACTGAGAAGTGTTTTTTTTAAAAGGAGTTGCAAACCAACCCTAATCGGTTGAGGTGCTTTCGGTACGATTTTTTAAATAAAGTTTTGTGAGCATGTTACACATAAAGGCTTTGTTTGCAACTACTTGTGCTTAAATAAAAGCACTTTTTGATAAAAAGTGATTAGTTGTAAAAGTTGGTAATGTTTGGTAAAATAAGTGCTTTTTGTGTAATAGAAAAAGTAAAAAGTAGATTCAACACGGAAGCCGAGAAAGTAAAAGTTGGTAGTGTTTCATAAAATAAGTGTTTTTTTCTTAACAAAAAACCAAAATCACTTTTCTTAAGTGGTTGCAAACAAAACCAAAGTGTACCACCAAATTTCAGTTGGCAAGGCTGGTTCAATCTAATTATGAAACTTTAACTACTCGTCCTCCTCCTGAACCACCGCTCCACTTTGTGAGAAAATTGACGCTCAACTGAATCTCCTTTTCAGTGCCTGATCAAACCGACGATTCATCCAATTTCTACTCAATTGAGTTTTCTTTGTTGGTTGCTGGTCAAACTAATTCTCTCTTTCCAGTGTCCGGTGAAGTGGACTATTTTATTTATAATTTTTTATTTTCTCTTTGTAGTAGCTTGAAGAGCAACAAGACAACTGGAGTAGACTACATTATCGTGGAGTTAGCGAACTAGGAGGATCCGTTAGATCCTTTCTGTTCTATTTTTATCTCATTGTAGTCCTAAGCTTTTCATTCACTTGTATCTTTGTTACTACATCTTTCCCACTAACATTGGCACATGAGAAGGTAACACAATTATTTAGAGAAAAAAATATGTAACTGATGTTGAATTGGTAAAGTAAGAATAAAGTAAAAATGATTTAGAATCACACAAATTTAACCAATTTTGGTATGAGATAATCTTAACAAGATGAATGGAGTATCATTTAATAAATAAATTAGTTATTTGATATGAAAAAAGTACTTAATTTAAATATTCCATCCGTTCTCCAATAATTGTCTCGTATTGCTTTGTATTATTTGTCTCTCTTTTCACTAGCACTAAGTTTTCCCTATGAGAATACTTCTATAATCTCACTTTTATTACTCTTATTTTCTTAAGAAATTATTTTCTCTTTCACACATTTTCATTACTTTTCTGTTCTCATAATAGCCATTTCCTACCTTTTCATTTACATAACACTATCTATATTACTCATACTATTTAGAGGTTAAAATTTACTACGTATAAATGTATGCTTCTGAAGTGGGTACAAAATTCATACAACAATTCAGGGATGTTTGGATCCGATTCTTAAAACTGCTTTTGCTCTTTCAAGGAGCAGAAACAGAAACTGTAGTGTTTGGGTGAAAGTGCATAAGTGATTCTGATATTCAAATTTACTCCTAGAATCGGTTTTTTTAAAAGCTGGGTGATCAGCTTTAAAATAGAAGCAGAATAGGAATCACTTCCAAACACCCTCAACCAAGCATTAATGCATTACTAGTATTGATATAGGACGATAGGCCATGGATCATTTGTGAAGTTTTCATTCTTTGTTAGGAAATTGTATGCTGTAAGAGTAGCCTCGCCTTGCTTGACGCTTCAATTCAGAGAAATGCAGGCTCTGGCCGTTTCAGCCGGTGGCCTTATACCACCACCACCACAACAGCGGGGTTTAAGATTCACCGGGGATTGCCGGAGAGCAAAGCGTTTGAGTGTTTGGGCTGGTCAGTTTCCGGCGTTTCTTCCAAAAGAAGTTCAAAATATCAAAGACCCACAAGCCAGAAAACTGGCTTCAAGAATTGAGAGACTCCCAGTAAGCCAGCTTCATTCTTTCTTCATCCTGCATATTTGTAGAATGATAAATTCAAAATGGTCCAAATTAGGTCAGCTTTTCTGAAGGCTGTATTATGAGCAGTTGTGTGATGCCCGTAGAGCAGAGTGGGGAGAATCCGGTTGTTCTTCTCCATGGTTTTGACAGGTAGATAGATAGCTTCATTCTGAAAGTCTAGTGATGGTCTGCTTTATTTGCTGCCATCGTATTATATGTATATACATATTGTTCATATCTTCTTATACTGTTCAGCTCACTTTTAGAATGGAGGTACGTATTTCCGATGCTTGAGGAGGCTGGGTTGGAGACATGGGCAATTGATATTCTTGGATGGGGTTTCTCTGATTTAGGTATGCTAACCCTTTCACTTCAGGGCTTAATTTTTAGGTGAGGATTAAGAATTGTTTTGTTTATTCCCTGGTTAGAAAGGCTTCCAGCGTGCGATGTAACTTCCAAGCGTGATCATCTTTATCAGGTACTCATATCTTATATGGAGTATTTGCTTGTTCATTTTATTTAAGCTTGTTAGCTCTGTTAATTTTTTTTATTATTACTCAGTACTCAGTAGATAAGATGTAGAGCCCGTTTGGTGCACATTGTTTTTTGGCGTATTAACCTAATATGCCAGTTTTTCCACCAAGCAGCAATTATCATTAGAACATTGGCTTGTAAATGAAAAAAAAAGTAGTGCATGACTTTAGACAAAAGAAATTGCTCCAAATAGGACTAAAACATACATAGAAGTACTTATGTTTTATTCCTAAAATAGGACTTATTTTATCTTATCAAAAGTATAAAAATCCCCAATTAAGAGTGACTGAGTCGTATTTAAAGAGTTTTCTCTTTAGACAATTAACCACATTTAGCCACAACTTCACCGATTTGAGCAGGATCAGCTATTTTTCATGCCACTTTTGTGACCTTGTTATTTGGCTTATTAGCCTTGTCTTTCATAATTTTACCCAAAAGTCCAAAACTAGTATTTGGTTTTATGGGCCAAAAAGGACCATTTAGCTTTTTTCCTACTCCATATTTATTTTTTCTTTACTTCATTGACAAAATATTTCTGAAAAACTACTTTTTCATAACTCCTTAGATTCAACCAATTCATCCACAACTTTAATAATTTTACCCAATTCAACTAATTGTCGTAGTTTTACCAAAGGCTCTCGGCCTTTCCATATGGGCTCGTAGTGTATACGCAAAATATAGATGATGTGAGTTGGGGGATAAGTAGTTGCACTGCCAAATGAATCTGATTTAGCATCTGAATAAACTCTAGAATACCATGTCTCAATATTCTATTTCTTTTTCAAAAGTCAACCTTACAACACAGGCTCATATTTGTCTCAGTTCTGGAAAGCATATATCAAAAGGCCAATGACATTGGTTGGGCCAAGTCTTGGATCTGCAGTTGCTATAGACTTTTCTATCAACTATCCACAAGCTGTAAGTTCTTCTAAATAAGACGAATCAGCTGAAGAGTTGTTTAATCTAAACAATCTTTTTAGGTTATATTGGGCAATTATATAGCTGATTTAATTGAACTGAGGCAGGTGGATAAGCTGGTTTTGATTGATGCAAGTGTGTATGCAGAAGGCACCGGAAAACTTGCAACACTACCTGAACCAGTAGCTTATGCTGGGGTAAACCCTCATATCATACTATAGTTAGAACCCTGACACAGGAAAAGATTCATTATTACGAGTAATACTTAGATGTGTCAAAAAAATCTGCATTTTTTGGACAGGCCTCCTTGTTGAAAAGCCTCCCGTTTCGCTTGTTTGCAGTTTTGTTGACTTTCAATAGGTTACCCTTCAATATTGTCACCGACTGGACAAATGTGAGTCTTGTGTGATCATATTTATGGTAGTTTACGATAACCCTACGAGGTCTCCATTCTCGAAATTTGCTGCTTCTTTTAATGTTCATTACAATAACTATGCAATGTGGCACAACCAATTAGCAGATGAATGTACTTTATACAATAATTAAAGCCTAATTAATTGGCAAAGTTTTCTTATGGACAAAAATATGACATCATGGTCAGTCTGAAAATACCACCATGTACCATCATGGTGACTGCATAGTATTATTGAGCATCACTATGATCACTCTAGAGTCTAGAAATAACATCATAGTCAATATGCTGTATAAGTCATATTTTTGTCCATGTTATTTAATCTTAGTGATATCAGTCGTATGAGTATTTGTTGTCCATTAGTCAGTATGCTGCAAGTGAAGTTTTCATTGCCATTATACCAAAAAAAATACAGTTCCAAATGGCAATGTGTGATTTTCTGCTGTTACTTTTCAGATTGGACGCTTGCATTGTTTATTACCCTGGTGGGAGGATGCAACTGTGAATTTTATGATGAGTGGAGGGTATAATGTCGCTGATCAGATAAAAGCGGTAAGGGTGACAAGCTAGAAAACAGCAACGAAATTATGATGACTTATATGCTGGGTAAAACAGAAGAGACCGAATAACTAAACATCATGCTCTACTTTTATGCTTATTTTTTGTCATTCATACAGGTGAAGCAAAAAACTCTAATAATATGGGGAGAAAATGATAAGATCATTGACTACAAGTTTGCAGTTGTGAGTTTTTCTTTTAATCCTTGCTTCTCTTTTTTTGTTCCTTATTTAAGGCGGCGGGTGGCATTACTTCTTTTTAGTGGGGGGATAACAAAGAGTGTAATCAATGCAGCGCTTGCACTGTGAATTGCCAAATGCAAAGATACGCCAGATCCCAAATTGTGGGCACATTCCTCATGTGGAGAAGCCTACCGTCGTCTCTAATCTGATTATGGAATTCATTACTGCTAATAGATCACGTCTAGAGAAGCCCGTTGGTGTACTTGCCACAGTTCAAGATTAATATCGAAATGGGTGATTAAAGGTATACAAACATTCTGGTTAGTTCTTGGTGAACAAACCCGCCTGTCAGCCCGTGCTCGTTATATGGTGTTATCCATCAATTGCATGCATCTGGACGGAGTGGACGGGTTTTATAGATGGATGTACATGTTAAATGGTGATGGGTGAAATTTGTAGTTTTCTTGAAAAGCTTATTGTGATCACATGACATTGAAGGGAATCCACGTTTATGGTTGTATAAATGAAATCCTTGTCGATGGGCACATGTTTTCATCTTTTGGGTCAAAAGTTGTGACTCACGTTTTGACCAAGTATAATGTAGACTTGTAATAGTTCCAAAGCCACCGTCCTTTTATCGTGATAAACCAGTTCCGCAGCTGGACTAAGCGTGGTCTCCAGAAAATCTACTCCTAAACTCTTGAGGTTTCAATCACTAGCAGCTCAGTTTATCCTCTAGGTTCTCATCACAACTATATACCTCTGGGTATAAGGAATTTCATGTAAATGATTTAAATGATAATGGACTAGCAGGTTACAAAACAATGCTTATTATAACACTAGAAAAATACTTGTATCATAATAGTAGTTTGGAAAAGGGTCAAATAAGCCCTCGAACTTATATAAAAAGGTCAAATAAGTTTTTATATATGAGGCTTTGTCCGGCCTTCGTCATTTGGGGCGGTTCCTGGTAGAATATTTTGATGCAACTTTTTGAGCATCTTAGTAATTAAGTTTAGTTTACTCATACCAAATTTTTATCTAACAATTCAATCGGGAAGGTATTCAAATAAATTCTTGAAGATAACTGTATTTTTAACTCCGCAGTTTTCTCCAAGAATTCATTTGAATGTCTTCCCGATTGAAAATTTAGCTGAAAGTTGGTATGAGTAAACTAGACTTAATGAATTAGATGTTTAAACAATTTCATCAAACAATTCCAGCGGGAACCGCCCCAAATGACCACGGCCGGACAGAACTTCCTATATAAGGACTTATTTGACTTTTTTATGTAAGTTTGAGGGTCTATCTTACCCATTTTCCTAATATTTTCCATTGTATAAAGGCAAAAAAGAGTCCAATTGTGTCTAGATTAGTCTCATTGAAGCCTAACTGCCTAAGATGGCAAGGTGTCCAACAGTCTAAGGCCTACAAAGTCATGCCTAGACGGCTGGCTAGATCACACGTCTGACGCTAGGTCTCCGTAGGTTGTTTATCTTCTAGTTTATGATGCAATGCAAATGATGCACACTGTCTCGAGTTTATTAGCCAATACAATAAAATTCTCTCAAATCGATTAAAAATTGAAATCGATCAAAACCGATAAAATTGAAATCGATGGAATCAAATTGATGAACGCCTCTAGTACATGTACGCCCTCTGTTTCATTTTGATTGTTTATTTTCCTTTGAAAAAAATGATAGTAATAATCTCAATTATTGGCGGTCCGTTCGTAATAATCTCAACTATCGATTATTTCAGAGTAATTCCAACTTTAGGGACCTTCCGCCAATAATGGTCCATAAAAATAAATTCTTGTAGTTTCTAAAATGGATGTGAAAAGATATAGCAAGTATTCCTTATAAATAATCCCAACTTTAATTTTTACACTTAAATACTATTTAAAAATCACTTGTTATAGAAAGTAATATCTGATCATGGACCATTATTAGCGGATGGTCCATATAGTTGGGATTATACAAAAATAATAAATCGGAATTATTGTCAGTGGACAGACAATAGTTGAGATTATTATTTTCAATTTTCTTTTTCCTTTTTGTATTGTCTAGAAAAGAATATTATGTTTTTTTACGAGGAACGTGTGATTCATATCATTTCACTTCATTATACTTAAATCTCAATAATGTTTTTACTTTTTGATCACTTTATATTAATAATCGTGTCAAAGTAAAATAAGATATTGCGTATCACTTTGTTACAAAAATTGTATAAATGGCGTTTCCTTTAAAACTTTAATTGTGATGAGTCCATGTTATTTCTCATCTAGGTCGTCCACAGCCTACACATTGCTCTCCAGACCGGCCTCTGAACACTAGGATTCAGTAGTTCCTCTCCTAGCATTTTTACTTGTTAAAATGAATGCTTTCCCAACACCCCCATAACTCTATGAAGAATATAAGAAAAACTCCATTGTAAATAGAGGGGTACACTTGCTCTTCTTCCTAACAGAGTAGCTCTGTTTACATGTCGAAAGCGTACATGAAATTTATATGTCCGTTTTGTCTTTGACACAGAAAAAATATTTATTTGACCCACAGACAATTTCATCAGGTAAATTGAAAAAAATAGCCGTGCAAATACAAAACGGAGCGTGAACAAAACGTGTTTCTCCTTTCAAAGCTGCTTCATCATTAGACATTAACTTACACTTTAGCAGTGTTTGCGGTTGCTTAAAAAAAGTGTTTTTCAACTTTTGGCTTTAAAAAAGCTAAAAAGAGTATTTTCAAATGACAGCTTCTGCTTAAATTAATCACTTAAAAGCTAAAAGCTGGAAGCAGGTGTAAGGATGCTTTAAACTGATTTTCACTTTTTCTATTACACAAAAAGTACTTATTTTACCAAACACTACCAACTTTTACTTTTTCAGAATCACTTTTTTCTCAAACACTACCAACTTTTAGTATTAATCACTTTTCCCAGAATCACTTTAAAAAATCATTTTTTTAAAGTTGAAGCAATTACAAACACTCCCTTTGTGTGCTCGTTTATTGGTCATCAATATTAATTTAGTGGGCTATCCTGTTAAACTTTCTATTAAGTAGACAATGGAGTTGTTTATGCACAAACAATTCAAATCTTACAATGATAAGTGCACAAGCAAATGCCTGCGTGTAAATCAATAGGTGTGCACGTACAATAGTTATACATAATACATGGGATTAATTTATGACTTTTCAATAAATAGAATTTTGAAAATCTTGTGTAGGGCGGAACAATAAAACATACATCTTATTTTATTAGAATGTTTTCAATAAATTAAGCTAAATATATTCTATTAGAGAAAAAGATAAATACTATAATGACGAAATGATTATTATATACTCCGTATATACTACGTATAGAGTACTTTTAAAGAAGTTTTTCAAAAGTACTAATAAAATAAAACTTATTTATAAAAAATATGACTAAAATTAGTATGATGGAAATATTATGATTGCTTAAATATGAAAGTTGTGCATAAGTTATTATGACTAAAATTATTACTATAGTCGTTATAAGTAATATTTTCAGTTGAATGTAAATGTTGAGCATAAATTACTTTGATCAAAATTACTTCTCTACTCATTATACGTGAAACTTGTATAAAAAGCCTAATTTTAAATTATACTCCCTCCGTCCCCTTTTAAATGTCCCATTTTACCATATTGGGATGTCCCTATTTAATTGTCTCATACCTTATTTGGTAAACTTTGTGTGGGTCAAAATCATTCTTACTTTACTCTTACTTTATCAATTAATATCAACCACGCAAACTCACTTTTTTTAAAACCCGTGCCACCATCTCCCGTTCCATTTAAAAGGGGACGGAGGGAGTACTCCGTACTTGATATATGTAATTATTTCATCCATTTTGTAAAACGCCAAAGTTTAAACAGAAGTAAGAGACGAACCAACTTACCCCTACCCATGTTACTACCCCCTCTCTCTCTCTGTTTTTCTACTAAAAGCAAACGGACCATATATTTTGACTGAAATAGTGCATTCGGTTTTCACAGATGACAAAGTCCATATTTCCAAAAATGTACAGAAAAATTTAGAAGGGAATTTTAATTCTACAGCATGGAGCAAGGATTTATTATTCTAAAGTACCTTCCTCATTCGTACTCGCCTCAAGAGTCAAGAAAGTTTATTACTTTATCTCCTTATGTAAAAAATCGAGAATTATCAGTTGATTTTGAGCCCGTGAATAAACATGATTGTGAATAGTGGTGGACCCGGCCCAGGACCGGCCCGGCCCGGAACCGGCCCGGCCCGGTTACTGTTTGGCCCGGCCCGGCCCGGGGCCCGGTGGGTCCACCGGTTCGGCCCGGCCCGGCTGCTGGGCGGTTCGGGCTCGGGCCCTGTTTTTGTTGAACCGGCCCGCCCGGTTCGGGCCGGTTTTTAATTTTTTTTTTTTTTGAATTTTTTTTAAGTTTTGGGTTGGATTAGATATTTTGGGCCATTTGAGTTGGTTTGGGGTGGTTTGGGGTTGAGGGTTAAATAGAAGAGCCAAAAAAAAAAATTAAAACCGGTTAGGCCCGGCCCGGCCCGGTTTGGCCCGGAACCGGAACCGGAACCGCCCACCGGCGTTTCGGGCTCTGGCCCAACTTTCCTGGCCCGAGGCCCGGCCGGGCCCAGGCCCAAACCGGGCCCAGGCCCAAACCGGGCCCGAACCGGCCCGAGTCCACCACTAATTGTGAACACTAAACGACTAAAGTAAATATAGTGAGGACTCTAATGTGCTCCAAATTTAACAAATACGCTAATGTGATCCTGCTCCACGTGAATACGTGACGAAAGATGATGTCTGATGATTCCCGTCTTTCATACATTTCACACCACTCTTCATGTTAACACGCTCACTATATTTTTCGAAGTTAAAAAGACAATTTACTTCAAGATAATTCAGTTTTGAAGTTGAAATATTGATCAAAGATTGAAACCAACAGGGATCGTGCGAAGATTACAGCACCAGTGTAAGTTAGACCTCTATCTTCGCACCAGTGTAAGTTAGACCTCTACACACGAGTAAGAAGATCCATTACCATTGAGTTACACGAGTAAGAAGATCCATTACCATTGAGTTGACTGAATCATCTTGATTTAGAATCTCCAAATGCCTTGTTGGTTCGGATGTAGAGGCCTTGGGATTAAGGACTCAAACTTTTGGAATATCAAAGTTAAAAAGACAAACTTGGAACTTATCAAAATAGGAAGAAAGATGAAGGCAAACAAAATAGGCAGTACTACATAGTATTATTACTCATTTAGGGAGTGAGAGAAATGAAAGAACACAATGAAAAGGGATAGTGAGTCTCTCATTATAGTAGCGACTAGCTAGTAGTCAAATTTGTTTCCCATGGGAGAATAATATAAAAATACAGCCTGCCTCTCTATTGTCACCATAGATAATATACAACACAGTAGTGGAATATTTCAAAAAGAAGGAATGAGAAGATATGTCTTGACAAGTGGTCCGTACTAAATAATATTATACTAAATATTAATAATGCATCTACTAGTAGTACTACCCTCCCAGAACAGTTCCACCAAACGGGGAATCAAATTCCATCTTTTCCACCGTAAAGGTGGAAATGGAGAGAAAGAGATCATATGTGGAAAGAGGGAATCAAAGTCTATGGTCCAGTGAAGGAATCAAAAAACACCCCAGTGTTCTTCCTTCTTTCAAAAAGAAGCCATTAGAGGAGGAGCAAAGGC